CTCAAATACTGCTTCCGTCTAGAACGGATGGATTAAGTTAAAAGCTCGCTGCTTTCATGCCAATGAAACCTTGAAATAGACTTCTTTTGGACCTCACTCATTCTGTTTTACAGTGTATAAAAACCAACTTATATCATATCATAATGTCACTGGAACATTATCCGAATAGTTTTAAATGCACGTATATATCAGACAAAAACAATAATGCTGACTGTGAAAAGTAATAGTGATGCGCTCAACAACAGTAATAATAATAATAACAATAGTAACAGTGATAACGGTGGAACATAGCAAAAAAATCATAACAATACAACAAAATGAACGAAGCATAACGCTTAGTGATCCAAAATATAATAATACATTCGTTAAATACGGATTCATCAGAAAAACATCTCGATGGGATTTATGTAATCGTAAACTCGGCACTTTTCAGGTTTCCTTTTCCTGTTCCTTTTGATTAGCGTTGTCCTCTGAGTCGGATAACGATTCCTGTTGGAAATCGCGATGTTTCGCAATTCGTTCTCTACTCTTCTGAAATGATTCTTTGGTTATCGTGTGATCTTGATCTAGAAGGTTATTGTTGTTGTTGTGACCAATCGAATCGACGAACCGTAATCAGTAGCTCAGAAGAGTTGTACGGGAAAGGTGAAATCCATGCCGGTACAATGATATCATCCTCACAAGCAACAGTGGCACATTCTCGAAACGCATATTGAGCGGTTGCAGTAATTTGCGAGATAACTAATGTGATTAGTTGCACAATGACATTCACCATCGATACAGCCAGAATCATCGATGGATTGATCGAGCTGATTATGTTTTTAACACAACCTACAATTGGTAAACAGTAACTTTTCAATAGAATTGTTTTGAATGATCATTAAAGTGGAAGTCATTCCATCCGCAGATGTCAACTGTGAGTTTTTGGACGACTTTGACGGTAGGCGATGAACGAAAATAACGAAAGAAGTGAATTTCTCGTTGATAAATTAATCTGAGTCAGTAGTATACTCT